GGTTGGTGGGATGGCGCTCCCACCATGGGGCTCCACCATGACAGCACTGAACCTGCTTGGGACTCTCTCTGCCACCCTACCCCCTTGCTCAGGCTCTCACCCATTCTCTCTCTCTCCTTCTCAAAATAAATAAAGTTAAATAATAAAGTAAAAAACAAATGAAAAAAAAATGCAATGTGGTGTTTGAGAGGGTTTGCTTTAAGACCAGAGTTATGCACTCTGCAAAAATAAGGTCATGACGATCTGTGGCAGCAGTCATGAATAGTGAGAGATTCTCAGTGTCCTGAGTACATCACAGACATGGAATAGCTTATTTTGAGCAAAGGAAAGACAGGCAGAAAGTGTGCAGATTGTTGTTGCAGCAGGGACACCCTGTGTTACAAAGCAATAGCTACCCGTGGATAGGATTAGAAGCATGATATCAACACAAAAAAACTTAATATCATTGCTTTACAGCAAGAAGGACCACCCATACTATGCAACCTTGTCAGGTAAGGAAGGGGAAACATTTTTTTTAAAGAAATACATGTATCTGATCATTTGTAGGGGGGGAGCACAAAAAGAATAATATGATAAGCCTGGGAGTATGTAGCAACTGGGGAAGGTAGGGGGGTGGGAGATGGAGAATGAGAATAGAAAGGAAAAGGTGTCATGGTCACATCTTTGTGCATAATTTTGGCTTTTAGAATCATGTTAATATTTCACGTACTGAAAAAAACTACATTATTATAATACTTTAAAATGGGTCCCACCAAAAGAGATAGTGGCAAAGCAGAAAGTGCAATTGTGGGCAATTCGGAGTTTGCCCAGCCCTGGGTGGACCAGACACCTCTAGACCAGTCCCCAGGGTATCCTGGGGACCATCCCCATGCAAACAAGGCAGATTTCTTTATCCAACAAATGTTTACTAGAGACCTACTATGTACCAGTTGCTAGCCTAGGCTCTGGGGATATACTGTGACAACAGGCCCAGAGCCCTAGTCTCGCCTAATAGGGATCCTGCTACAGTGTAAAAGCCCAAGGGACCCCAGCACCAGACTTCATTGGGAGTTGCCTGTTGTGTATTGAGTTTTAAAGAGGGAATCCCTTCATTTTAGGACAGTCTGGAAAAAAATGAGAGGGGGTGGGACGGGAGGAGTTTTGTTAACTGTGAATGGGAAGAGGTTCAATATACTTCACGCACAGATTCTGTATGATGGTGCATGGTATCACACTGCATGGGAATAATTTAAAAGTCTGTCCCCTGTGCAAGACTGGGATAAGATCACAGGGCTGAGGCCTCTCATTTCCTTAGTATGTTCAGAGCTTGGACGGAGCCGGCCCAGGGTAGGTGCTTCAAACACACTGGTGGACCCAGTTTGGTTTGAGAAGATTTTATTTATTGTGTGACTTAAGTGGACTCAGGCCACTCACTCCCCTGGCATGGCCAGCTCCATCTCATTTTAAGAACAGAGATGGTGGGGTGCCTGTGTGGCTCAGTCCCTTGAACAGTGGACTCAATTTCTACCAGGGTTATGATCCCAGGTTGGTGAGACAGAGCCTCACGGAGGGCTTGTGCTGAGTGTGAAGCCTACTTAAGATTCTTTCTCTCTCTCTCTCTCTCTCTCTCTCTCTCTCTCTCTCTGCTTGCTCTGCTCCTGTACCTCCCTGTCGCTCTCTCTCTAAAATAAACGAGAGATGATGATGTTTCCACTCCTGAGCAAGGGACACACACATTCACATCCCGTGGCACCACACGGTCTAGGCTGTGCCCAGCTCTGCCTAAGAGCCTCAGAACTCCTCAGTTTTTCTCCTCTCAACGCCTGCCTGCCTAGCTTACTCCTGGCCCCTGCCCATGACCTCCCACCCCACCCCACCCCACCCCCACCTCCCGCTGGCCTGGTCGCTTCTGTCCCAGGTATTAGGGTTGCAATTGGCAAGGCGAGGGTAAGATCCACGTTCTTGGTTCCACTGTGCCTCGGGGCGGGAGAGGGTCCCGGTGCTCCCTAGCTCTAAAGGAGGAGGAAGGGGTGTCATCAAGGCTCGGCCTGTTTGCCGAGAAGTCCAGGTCCCGGGGGTCCTGGAGGTGACTTGGGGAGAGACTGAGAATGCAGCAAGCGAAGACCACTGAAAGCTGAGGCCAGTACGGCGAAGCAGGCTCGCTCCCAGCCGCGAGGCGTCCGAAGGCCGGTCCCTCTCCCCGCAGGGTTTGGGCAAGAGCGATCCGGGAGCCTCTCTCCAGGGTTGCTCAGCATGGGCGGGAGCCTGAGCCGAAGCCGCTCCTTCCGTAAAGCTGACTGGTGTCTGCACCGATCGCTCGCGAGGGGTCAGAAAGCCTTTTCCTGTCCCAACTCTCCAACAAACCAAGAAAGAAAAGAAAAGCCGAACCCGAGAGCACGATTTGAACTCAGGGCTTTTGATGACAAGACCCTCCTTTATTCTATGGCCTTCATTCTCAGTATTCTAGGTCTTCCCAGAGCGCGATAGTCCCCCGGGGGAAATTCCACCATAGAACAAAGCGTTGGCAGCGGGCTTGCTATTGGGGGGGTGGGGGGGTGGCGGGCTGAGCGCCAGCTCAGAGGGGTCTCAATGAAAATGTCCTAAATTCGCCCATTAGGAGGTTAGAGTGCTTGTAGTAAATACCCACCTCCCAGACGTTTGCTTACACCTGTGCGGGGAAGAGAATACGATAATACTTTTTTTTTCTAGGAAGTCGTGGGATATGATTCATTATTATTTGTTCTACATATTTATCCTGGGGAAATAATCCAAAAATGTTGACAAGGTTGAAGGCACAAAGATATTCTCTGTGCTTTATTTACAGTGACATAAATAGACACAATCTACAACTATGAACACAGCCTATTATGGGCCATCCATAACATGGACTATTATATTGTAGTTTTCAAATACATTTGTAAAAACTTTTTAATGATGTGCCAGACATGCTTCTGATGTAAATTTAAAAGGCACAAACTCGCATACACCCTGTGCCAAGATATTATAAAGAAGGAGGTGAGCTAAATGTTGCTTCTGGATGAATCTTGTTTTCTTTTCAACTTTCTCTTACTTTCCTATTTTCCCCCCAAAGGGTGCATGATAATTTTTATCATCGGAAAAAAAAAAAAAACAACCTTAAATAAATGTATAGGTCATCGCAAGATTTTGATGTTTCTGGGAACAAAGACAAATAAGTGGGGGTGTACTGTTTTGGCAAAACCAGAGTTCCAGCCAGCCCTGCCTTTGGAGAGCTGGGCCACCTCAGGATCACTTAACCTCTCTGATGGTGACTCATCACTGAAAAAGACAGGAAGGAAGGAAGGGAGGAAGGAAGGGAGGGAGGGAGGGAGGAAGGGAGAGAGAGAAGGGGAAACTGGAAACACCTAGGGTATAGCTTTGATGTAAAGATTTAATGCTGTGATGTATAAGAAATCATTACTTGGTTGAACCATCAAATGTGCCAAAATTCTGTGCCCACTAGCCTAGAAAGATGAGTTGGACTTATGTGGACTTCAGGCAGTAATAAAGCTCAGACAGTTCCTGTAACATTGAATTCTTTTCAGAAGGCTTATCTAAGAAACAGTTCATCTGAAATCCCCCCCCCAGAAAAAAAGAACTCTAGCAAGGTCTCATTTTGATTAAAAGATACTTTAAAACTCCTTAGAGTCTGCGCTGACTGCTTGCCCTAAATCATGTATACTTAACTGAACCAATGTAGCATGAGTAATAGCGGTGGACATTCATTGATGGTTTCGTACACCTTATCTCAGTTCTCACAATCGTCCTACGATGAGTCTATTCTTATCCCCACCTTAAGAGTAAGCCTTAGTTTAGAGAGGTAAATACTTTAATCAAATCCCACAGCTGTGTCCAGGGCAAGGGCAAGACACGTTGACTCCCGCCTCACGTTGGTAGCCGCTGTACATGCTGTCTCCTTTCACTGTTGCCAGCTGTGTCCGAGGGGGTTTTCTGAAGATCTATTGCTCCTCGAAGCTTTCTGCTCCCTGGGGGCAGGGGTGGGTGGGTGCGGGGAGCCGCGGGGTGCGGTGAGAAGAAACACAATGACACGGAGTTCATACACATTGAAGGTACGCACGCTGAAAACAATCAACTTCAGGGAGATTAAAGGGGAGGAAGAGAAGGAACTTGGGAGCCCCCGTCTGACACCTTGAGAACTGGGGCTAGTACTTTTCCTCCTCCCCGCTCACTCGCGGAGCCTGCGAAGAGGCCAGGGGGCTCCCCCAATATAGCCCCCTCACCCAGTCTTTGTGGCCTTAGCTAAGATGCTCGTCCTAGGAAGTGGCCATTTGGGTTCCCCAGACCCAGTCTCAGCGTAAAGCGAGAAGTTTCTGGCTGAGGCTAGGCATAGGCAGGTCAAGAGTCACTCCTCCCGCGCCCGGCCTCTGCTCCCAGAACCGAACTCCCCTCCGCGGGGCCTCACCCTGCTCCCACTAAGACTCCAGCACGTTCCTCCGATCCCGCGCGTGCCCAGCTGTCTCCACTTGAGTTTTTCTCGGCCGGGTGAGTGGAGAGTTGAGCAAAGGCCGGGCCGGAAGGACAGGCTCGGGTTGCAGAGAAGGGTTCCACCCCCCATACTCTCCCGTCCTCCAGGGGAGCCCCCAGTGGACCGGGCTGACCTCTGCGGCTCCCTCCATTACCCTATCGCCCAGATCCGAGCTGCGCGCAGCACTCTCCTATTTCCTGGCTTTTGAGAACCGTTGACACAAACCAAACCTTTCTGGAAGGTGGCTTGGGGGTTGAGGAGGAATTCGAAGGGCCAGGGAAGAAAGCTCCGAGGGAGAACGATATGAATTAGCACGTGGTTTCTGCCGGAACCAATGAGGGTCAGCCATCTCGTCACTGGGTCTCGGTCACCCGACTGGCAGGGATGGCCCAGAGGAAGGCGCAGTACAGGACCCTGGGCGTCTGCCCGCTGTGCTTGCAACAACCACACGGGAAGCTCAGGGCGACACCCAGAGGGTGACCAGGGACACCCCAGCCCCGCCTCCTGCGCCTTCGGGATGCCGCTGAACCTTGTCACCTCCACCCCCTTCTCGGTCAATGACATCCTGAGGCTGGAGCCAGAGCAGATAGATCCCCACTTCTTGAGACTCCGGGAGGCACGGGGGAGCCCTGAACGTTTTCAGTGCCAGCGACTGGTCCCAGAACCGCAAAAGTCAGAGGTTCACAGCACCTGCAGTGTCCGCGGGGGAAACAGAAGGCAGAACGAGTCAGGGTCTCCTGGTGGTCCCCCTGAGACGGTCGCAGAGATGGACTCAGAACGGGTGGAGGAGCCACGTAAGTACGCGCGCTCAGGTCTTGGCTTCTACGGGCGGATCCTGGCTATGATGGTCACGACCAGTTGGCGTGTGGGCCTAAGGCGCATCTCCTGGTCTTTCTGGCTCTGAGGTTTTCACCCCATTTCCCCTCGTTTGAGAATTCCAAAAGGCAGATCTCTCAGCCTCCTCTCCCACCGCACCTCCAGGGTGCTTCCTGCGTGGCTAACAAAACAAGGTCCTGAATTTTAGGGAGTTCATTATTCCCCCAGCCCACCCTCTGCTTCCCACAAGCTCATCGCCCCCCAGTCACCGCCACACTTCCCAGAAACTCTAGCTTCCCTTTCTCACAGCAAAACCCTCAAGGTAACTTAGCTGTGCTCCAACACAGGAGGTCCTCCTTGCCATTTCCGCGTCTCTCTACCCTAAAGCGACTGCCAGAAGTGTAGCCATCAAAGCAGCTGAGCGCTTTAGGAATGGAAACTCGCCCTCAGCTCAGGCTTGCTAAGTGGCCTGGCCGGCCCAGTCATCCCTCCGCCCGGGTTCCTCCTCTAGACAAAGAGAGGTGGCGACCAGATCAGGTTGTGTCTGAGCCCCTAGGCCTGAATGGCCCTGTGGGCGCTGGCGGCCGCTCCTGCGCGTCTGGGAGCAGAGTAAGGGCAGCTCCAGGTTTTGAAGCTCTGGGAGCCGACTGCGGGGGCGATGCGGGGATCTCTGTGCCTGGTCTCCGAAAGTGCCACCTCAGTGCTGGGGAAGCGAGGCCCCGGCACCTGCGTCTAGCGGCAGGACTGGAAGGAGCAGGCAGTGAGTTGTGCTGCATTGGCTCCTGAGACCCAGGAAGCTTCCGCAGGAGAGTCTCCACATTCTGAGCGATGCAAAAGCCACTCTTCCTCTCTGCGCCTGGGCACCTCCTCTGCAGCCTCTGAGCGGGCGTCTGGGGGCCCCCTTTGCCAGGCCGGCCACGGCCCATCCATTCAAGGCTCAAATGAATAAGTAAAGGGACTAGTTCAGAGCTGTTTGCTGCGGCCTGGTTATTCACCCACTCCAGGAGCCTGGAGAACAGTAAACTTTGCTGTGTGTTCTCAGAGAGGCCTGAGTTTTCTGCAGCAGACTCTAAATACTAATTCCCTTGAATCGGCTCAGTCAACTCGGCGTTCACTCTGGCTTTGTTGAGAAAAGGTCACAGTCCTCAGAGCACAGCTGTCACGTAGCATCTGAAGGCACTCAGGGTGCGTTTCTCCTCAGCTGGGGATCCCTGGGCAGCATCACTTAAGAAGCTGCTGTGGACTCATTCCGAGGAGTGACCCCCGCGGAGCTCCAGGGACTAAGCCCAGGGCCCCATCAGTGATGGAACCTTAGTGGTGGCCTCTGCGTGCTTCGCCTATTCCCAGACCACCTTCTTCAGAGCTGCAGGGCAAGAGGGGTTGCACACCAAGGGCACGGGGTGCTAGCATGCGCCAGGGAGGCACGCAGCCCCTTGGCTTGTGTGGTCAGCGACTCTCAAATGGGATCCTGCTTGTTCCAAAGAGTTGCTTAAGGTCAGCTGTTACTTTTCAATTTGCTAGGATTAAAACACCCGTCAGTATTTTTCCTCTTTGCAAGATGTCCCCAGTTTCTCTAAGCACAGGCTGAAGGAAGGCTGAAGAAAGTTTTTATTTCCACAGACTTCAGATATCAAACAACCCCATCATCTGCCTCCAGGAGACTGTGTCAACAGAGTTGGGGATTTGGAGCCGGGTTCCAACCCACACGTTCCTGAATCAGGCGTGTTCTGCTCTACCTTGCTCCCCCCCCCCCAAACTTGCAGCCACTCCGCATTCCTAATTTTCTCCTGTCGTGATTTTCCATGAAAACTCAGCATTTCCTCTCTACCCACCCCTGAGTTAAAACAGAGCTTAGTCAAGATAGAAGAGAGGTGGGAAGAAGGGGAGGAAAGTCTGTATCTCTGCGAGCTTCAGGCATAGCCGCCTACAGGTGATCAGCTAGAGCACCAAACCTGGGAAGAGGAAGTCAGGGCAAAACCAATGCCGCCTGCTTGCCAAGGAGACCCCGAAGGAGAAAGAGGCTGCTTTTTAAAAAGCCAAATGTGGATCTAAACTTTATATATACCTCCAAGAGAACCCCAGTTTCCAAACCAAGAATCAGGAAACCGAAATATTTCGTTTGGTTTTATTTTATTTCGCCAATTTGGACCACAGAGCATCACATCCAGGAAAGATGGGATGGATCCCTTGTGCCAGAGGAGGACTTGATGACCAAAAAGGCAAGGGTGTGTGCAAAGGTGGGGTGAAAGTGGGAGACACTCGGGGTACCCGCCCCTGTGCTTGGATCTGAATAACCTGGGATGAGCACCGGACCACCAGGCAGACAGGAAACCCCTGGCAAGCACGTCACCACGTTTCCGTTCTATCCCCATCTCTGTCTCTCTTTCTCCGTCCCCTCTCCACCCAGGGCAGGCCAAAGCCACCTCCATCTAACAGGCCCCCACACTCACACTTGGTCCTCGAGGCTAAAGCTTCCCCAAACTCCACCACACTAGAATCGAACCACAGGAATCACCCCTACCCCACCACCCCCACACAGACCTTCTAAGAAGAAAATGACGTTGTCTTAGATTCTTGATCAACTCCCTTTTGGGAAAGGCTGTACACGGGAGACCCTGGAGTGTCAACATTTGCGTATGTGCCTGCAGGTACAATAGCGACAGGGCCTGGGCAGGGGGGAGGTCGTCCTGGGACGGGGATGAGGGGTCAGCAGCGGGGACAGAAGGGGACGCGAAACGAAGGCTGCCAGGGGAGAGGGGCGCCCCTTGAGAACCATGAAAGAATTGCTCAGGGGACCCCGAGGCTGGGCGCTGACGCTGTTCCTTCCTGTGCTTTTAGAGCCGGGCCTCGGCGCAGCCTCGCCCCTCCGCGGCGGGACCAGGGGCCCGGAGCTCGGCGTCGGCGACCCCGGCCACGGCACGGAGCAACCTAAGGCGCGCCAGCGGCGGAAGCCACGGGTGCTCTTCTCGCAGGCGCAGGTGGTGGCGCTGGAGCGGCGCTTCAAGCAGCAGCAGTACCTGTCGGCGCCCGAGCGCGAGCACCTGGCCGGCGCGCTGCAGCTCACGCCTACGCAGGTCAAGATCTGGTTCCAGAACCGGCGCTACAAGTGCAAGAGACAGCGCCAAGACAAGTCCCTAGAGCTGGCGGGCCACCCCCTGGCGCCGCGCCGGGTGGCGGTGCCCGTGCTAGTGCGGGATGGCAAGCCCTGCCTGGGCCCCGGGGCGCCGGCTTTCTCTGGCCCCTACAGCGCCGCCGCGGCGCCCTATTCCTGTTACGGCGGCTATGCGGGCGCTCCTTACAGCGCCGGCTACGGCGGCGGCTACGCGGGCGCGCCCCCGGGTTCCGCGCCGCCCGCTCCCCTGGCCAGCGCGGGCTTCGGCGGGGGTGGCCCCGGCGCCAGCCCGCAGAGCCATCTGCCCGCCACGCTGCAGGGTGTCAGGGCCTGGTGAGGCGCGGTGGCTCGCGTGTCCCGGTGCTCCGTGCCAGCCTCTCCGCCGACCGCGATGAGGGGCGGCGCTGCTGGAGCGAAGAGGCCACCGGATGGCACTTCCTCCCCGAGCAATCCCTGGGACTGCGAATTGGCCCCAACAAGCCATCCCGCCGAAAGCCCCGGACCGTTCTTCTCCCCAAAGACAGAAAGAGCGTTGGGCCGGCCACGAAGCAGCACTGGGAGGGAGGAAAGCCTGGGGTGGCTGGCAATTTCGGAGGTTCGGAGCAGTACTCAGGCAGGTGACTAGTCCGGTCTGAAACCCAAGGTTTGAGGATAGGCTCTTTAATTTGTGTGCAGCAGCCTGGCGCCTGGGCAGGGGGGAGGGGGGTGGGGGATGGACCGAGGGTGGGGTGCTCTAGAGGACCTCAATCCTCCGTTAAAGGCAAGGGGATATGGAAGAGAGGAGTCAAGTGAGGTGTGGGACCCGGGGTGTAGAGCGGGGGTAGGCGGGGAAGGGAAGGGTCCTGGAGGTCCTGGTGAGGAACTATTGTGTGAGCCCTCAAGGGACTTTAAAATGCCCTCCCCCCCCCCCCCCCCCCCCCCCCCCCCGCTGCTCTGCGGTTTTCACAGGACTCTGCGTTAATCCGATGGGGAAGTGGTTGCTCTCGGGAAAGGTATTCTGGCTCTCCCCTTGCAGGGTCCCTGCATTTTATCCCCTGTATCCAGCTCAGCACCTTGAGTGAGTATACTAAATATATCGGTGTGTGTTTGCGTGTGTGTAGGCCATTAGAATCCACCCACCTCTCCTTACCTCCAAACAACTTCGAATTAAAATTAAAAAATGAAACCCAGAAGTTCTGACTCCTTGGCACAGACAAGATTCCCTAGGGAGACAAAATGCATGGAGCCCTGGAGATAGGTTACCTGGTTTCTTCTCTATTGCTCTGTAGGGTTTCTTTCGAAACATAACCCTTTTCGGGTAACAAGAAAGGAGGCCTCCAGGAGGCCATAAATCCACATAGAATGGGTAGGAAGCCTGAACTTTAGGGGAAATCATGATTCTCCTCCATAAATATGTTTGAAGTTCTGCACATTTTAAGACTGAAAACAAACTCGTTCTGTTAATGGGAACAAGGGCTCAAGTACATTTATCTTTGGCAGGCAGTAGTAGGGACATTCGGTCCCGCTTTTCCCTCCTTGGATAACATTTTTAGACAATGAAAACTCTGGTTCTCTAACCCCTCCATCACTAACATGCCAAAAATTAATTTTTTTATTTAATAAATATGAATGTTTACCCAAAATGTACTGGCCCTGTGTTTTCTCATTTCTGAATGTGCCCTGGTTGTTTTCACCAACAAGGGAAACAGAATTCTTTGGTCCTTTGTAACCTATACAGGAGTACTGATCACTAACATCTCCTGAAGCTTATGTGCTCAAGCTAAAAACGAGAGTATTCTTATTTTTTCTTACTACATTTCCTTACATTTTCCCTCCTTTTGATTTTCATCCTTTACTCTTTTATTTCTCTGTTTTTGCTGTTAATCAAAAAACATTTAGAAATACTCCCCAGGTCTGTGCTCCTGAGATTAAAAAGGGCAGATTGTATATTTTACATTTGGAATCAATAAATATTCCTTGGTAAATTAAGCTAAGATTTAAAAAAAAAAATAGAGATTACAGTTAAAATCTCCATCATGAGAAAATGGTCAGACACGTTATCCTTCTTTGACTTTGGGGGACATTGCTTACAAGAGGGAAGGACCTGTGGACATGTGGACACTGGCCTTAGATTCATGACGGTTGACTTTAAGTTCAAAGCCTCCATGAGTAACTATCTGTCCAGCCCTCAGTTGCTAAGTGAGTCGTATTACATTTTTCCAAGAGCAGATTCTAAAGTACTATACGTTCATTTTTAAAAGTCCTTTGTTGTGGGTCTTTGGGTAAGGTCCTTGCCCCGGAATCGTAGGTCACCATCGCAGGGATCTAGCAGAGTACTTGGCACCGAGTAGATTAGTGAACGTTAGTTTCTTCGCCCTGTGCCCCCTTCCCGCATAGAAAAGTCAGGTCCGAGGCAGTTCCCAGACACGTGATGTTCTGAACAGGCTTGCTTCCCATGCTGCCTCGACATTTTGAACCACACGGAAAAAGGACAGAAAGATGAGCGATGGCTTGGTCAAGGCTGTGAGTGAAGGCAAAAGCGGCATGGTTCAGTCATCAGCAACTCAGTCATCGCCCAGACATTTCTGGAAGGGCTACAAAAATAAGATCTGGCTGCTGCCCTTAAGAAATTTATTATCTAATTGGATACCAGAGACTATCTGGAGAAAGGCATCTAAAAATACAAGGTGGTCTGTGCCGCTGTCAAGGAGGACAGACAGCGCACCCTCTCTGGAAAGAAAGAGAAGGGGTGGGGGAGGAGCGGGGTGCTTGCAGGAGGTGATTAAGCTTAGTGATTAGTATGGGAATGACACTGTTTACTGGGAGAGGCTCCTGGAAAGGTGGAGGACTTAGGAGTGGAGAAAAGTAAGTGGGCACACGCCAAAGCCACGCTCATGTTCTACAGTAGTTTGAGATACAGTTCAAGGCCAGCCTCTGGGAATCTGTAAACTGCATTCAGTTGGCTAAAGGAATGGGGGAGGCTGGATGGAGTGTTACTCTGATACATGCCCAAGATCCTCTACAGGTGCCATTGATTTATGACATTTTCTGTTCTGCTCTGGAGATTTTTCTAGCATCTGTATTTGCTGGTCTAACCAAACAAACAACTAAACTAACAAAACCTTGTGCATAGGCAATTCCTGAGGTTTTCTCCTTGGTGGAGGTCTTGGAAGCTTGAGATTCTCCTGACACCACCAATTGCTCTCCAAAAGGAAAGCAGAGGGAAGGAAAGCTGTCTTCTCCCACCCCCCCTCACCCCCCCCCCGCCCCAGCCTGTCAAGATCACTTTAAAAGGCATCCCTCTCTCAGCTCATCAAGCCCGCCTCCAGCCGCCCATCTTCAGTCCTGTAATCTCTCCTCTGCACTGAAAGCTGTCCCTTTGTGTGTGCATCTTAAGGTCCCCAGCCTTGCCGAGGCCGGCTTTCACCAGGGAGGCGCTCTGCAAGCAATCAGCTCTTATCTGCATCGTTCAGCCCCGTCACTTCAGGCACCTCTTAATGTTCACAAGCTTCCCAAATGGGAAGTAATTGACCTCTAAACAAAACAAAAAAGCTCTCAGAGAGATAGCAGAGGTTCCTTTCCTGACTGTCCCAGGGCTAAGGGTCTCACCTAGGCCAGGTGGATAAGTCAATAAAATTGCAGACTTCCTGGCTCCCAGTCCTTCCTCCGCCCCTCTCCAGCGCCTTCCAGCCCTCCCTCAGATACCATCTGTAAATCAGGTGGAGCCTGAGTAGAACTCTAAATTTCAGAGTTGCCAGACATTTCTGGTATTTGGTTTTTTGTTAATTTTATCATTACAATGAGGTGACTTTGGAGGGACGTGTTTAAATCTTTTAAAATTCCATCTGAAAAGTGTGTACAGTCCTCAGAGTTTATATCAGTTCTTTGGGATATCGACCTGCTGACTCAGCTTTTTTCTTTTTCATAAAACAAAGGAACTTCCAGGCTGGGAAGCTGTGCTTCACCCCGCACCACCCCCCCACCCAAGAGAGACCTCTTCAGAGAGATGGAAGGTGGTAGAGGAACACAGAGTTCCAAGTTGTTGGACCTTGTTCTAGTCTCACTTCTACTGGTGGTACATTCTTGTGACCTTGAGCAAGGCTGTAACATCTCTGGGCTTCAGTCTCCTTATTTATAAAACTGAGGCAGTGGGTCTCTGAGGCCATTATTATTATTATTATTATTATTATTTCTAGGAGAGAGAGAGAGACAGCGTGAGCAGGGGAGGGTCAGAGAGAGAGGGAGTCACAGAATCTGAAACAGGCTCCAGGCTCTGAGCTGTCAGTCAGCACAGAGCCCCACGCGGGGCTCGAACCCATGAACCGTGAGATCATGACCTAAGCGAAAGTCAGATGCTTAACCGACTAAGCCACCCAGGCGCCCCCTGAGGCTATTATTCTAATATTGGGTGTCTTCCTGTTGATTTCAGATGCGCTTATATATTTTTTAATGTTTATTTATTTTTGAGAGACAGTGAGAGATAGAGTGCAAGCAGCAGAGGGACAGAGAGAGGAGGAGACACAGGATGTGAAGCAGGCTCCAGGCTCTGAGCTGTCAGCACAGAGCACGAAGCAGGGCTCAAACTCATGAACTGTGAAATCATGACCTGAGCGGAAGTCTGACGCTTAACCAACTGAGCCACCCAGGCGCCCAATTAACCAGCATTTTAGAAGTGGAGAAACTGAGGTTCAGAGAAGCAAATGGCTCGTTTCAAATTCTACATCAGTGACCATGTCAGAACTTGGTCATGTCTCTCAATGTGTAGATCAGTTTTATTTCTCTCTCCTAACACATGTGAGTTTTTTTTTAATTATAAAATGTTTAAAACAGTCAAAAAATGCAGAGAGAATTGCTATGATTTAATTTATTTCATATATATTAACCTACTCAACTGACTGAGCCACCCAGGCACCCCTATGCATTTATATCTTTTTAATTGTAGGATAGATCATATCTAGAAAATGCATATGCATAAAATATATATGTGCAATTGAAAGAATAATTATAAAATGAACACAGATGTAATCCCCTCTTAAGGCATGAGACAGATAACTGGCACCCCTTCTCCCCAAGCCACTTCCAGAATGCAAACCCGTTTCTCCCTCCTTCCCCAAAGGAAACACCAGCTATTCTGACTTTTGTGATGATAATTTACAGACATCTCTGTATGGATTTACCTGCTGGGACACATCCTTTAACAATGTGATGTAGTTTTGCTTGACTTTGGATATTACATAAATAGAATCATACTGCCTATGTTCTTCTGTGACTTGATTCTTTTATTCAGCTTGATGTTTGAGAGATTTATCCAAGCTCTACAGAGCTTTAGGCTGCTCATTTTCCTTCTTCCTTTTTATT